AAATGGTCACATTTTTGTATAGCGCTTTTCCACCTTCAAGGCACTCACCCATTCACACACACATTCATACACCAGTGTACGCAGACACTGTGGGCAAGGTGGGTTAAGTGTCTTGCCCAAGGACACAACGGCAGCATTCATCTGTGGGAGCTGGAAACACACCAGCCAACCTGTGGGTCAGTGGATCTGACCGCTCAACCTGTGATGTTTATGTCGAGAGCGGGATTCGAACCGCCAACCTTCAGATCAGTGGGCGAATGCTCTACCAACTGAGCTACTGCCGCCAGTTGACTTACTTTCTACATCATTATATTTGCAATTGGTAGAAACAGTTTTAGCTGAAATGTGTGTATCTTTTACTGTGTTCTCACTGTAAATGTGCAGTTGCAGATTAATAGTTATCTATGTGTGTACAATCCCACAGTCGTCCAGGTAGAACCAGCGGCAAATCACAAATTCAATTTATCAACTGGACAATAGTTTATTTAGGTTGAAAACATTTTGCAGTTCAAGTTCATCCAAGCTGCTTCTTCAGTTCTGGTCAAACACTGATGAACAAATATCTGCTTTATCTATGGTATAAAAAAAAATTGTACTTTTACATTTTACTTACTACCTTTACTTAGAAATATGAATGTATTTTACGGTGTGTGTGCAGATATCTGCGTGGCTCTGGACTCTCAGGGCGGGTTTGAGCGGGAGCAGATCAGAGAGCAGCTCGGAGGATTCATCGGACGCTTCTCCTTTGGCCGACTGAGGCGCTTCCTGTCTGGTATCATCTACGGCAACCCGTTCAGAGCAGGTACAGGGTCCACAGCACTGCAGTATGCACAGGGAGTATTCAAACATGTAGAAGAACAGAGGATGGAGATCTGAAAGAAACCATCAGAAAAGTGAAATACATCACTACAGAAGTGATCTGAGGTGCAAACAAGACAAAAAAAAAAACTCATGAAGTCCAAACTCTGCTCTGGATGAAAAAGACCCTACCTTAGATGAGGAAACAATATTAAAAAGTCAGTTTAGCATAATTTAAGATATTTCCTTTTTCCTTCAGATGAGAGAACCTTCGAGGAGCTGACCTACTCGGACACCTACGACATGGAGATGGTTCCAGACTATTACGAGAAGGCTGCCAGCATGACGGACATCTCCACGACTTATCTCCGGGAGAGTGGCCACACCAGAGTGAACCTCCTGAAACACAACATCCCCAAAGGCCCATGTGCGCAGTGCGGGATGGGCCAGCAGAAGAGGGAGACGGTGTACGGGTGCCTGGAGTGTTCACACGGAGGACAGAAGTACGTACGGTTACATGTGGTGCACTGCTTTGACCTCTGGCACAAGCTGCTTAGGTGAAGACAGGCAGAGGTGAACAGACTGTTACTTTTGTGCAAGATGCTACAAATCAAACAGAAGAACAAATGTTTACCAAGAGCTTTTGTTTTTATTGTGTTATTGTGGAATGTCAAATTATTCATAAAATGGCAAAGACTGGAAATGCTGCATACACTTGATTTAAAAAAATGAAATATGTCCAGGGTGACCAGATTTTCAAAATCAAAAACTGGGACATCCCTGGTTTGTGGTGGTTGGTAATAATAAAATTGTGAAATGAGCGCAGAATTAAGGAAAATAGTTCTGCCTTCAGCACTAATGTGAATGAGTATAATCACATTTTATTTTTGTGTTTTTGTTGTTTTTAAGCAGCTTTTCTGTATTAAAAACAACAAATGACAGTTTATGTTTCTCTTTACTATTGTCAGGGATCAGACATGTCCAAAATAGGGACACCTGGGACATTTCTGTATAAAACTGGGACAAATCAGTGGTTTTGTATAAATGTGCTGGGACAGGGGGACACAGGCTCAAACCTGGGACTGTCCCGGGTCAACAGGGACGTCTGCTCACTCTAAATATGTCCTAGGGCCTTAAGGCATGGAAAAAAATACAGTTTCAGATAAACTTGAACCTGCGTTAGGTTTTAGCACCAAAAGATGATTTAGGAAGGAATTTGGAAGAAAAAGGAGATATTTTAGATGTTGCTCAAGTTGCACGAAGTTTTGAAGCTCCTACAGATGATTTGGTGAGTTGTGAGTTGTGAAGAAAACACCAGAACAGCTTTGGGCGACATCTTTGGTACTTGAGTGAAGAAATGTTTGTCCTGCATTCTTCAAGTCCAGTGTGACAGAAGAACAGAAGAAGCTGATGCTGATCACAATATGATGGAAATGGAAGGTTCAGAGGTTCCACCAAAGTGATGTGATGCTTTTAATCAAGTAGATTATGAAGGAGCAGATTAGGGATTACGTGTCCAAGTTTCAGTTTGTGTTTGAAGAATAAAATTACAAATTATTTAAATCCGCCTTATTTATTTGGTTCTATGTTATAGTATAGTCTATCTAAATATTAATTCATTTGTATAAAATGTGGACCCAAATATTTTAAATGCAGGGTTTTAACCTAGTGAATCTAAAAAAATAAAAATAAAAAATTTATTTGGACCAACCTACTGTGTACTAACAAATTTTTAAAAATATATATAGAAAGATCATTTTACTTTAGGAAACAAAACTAAATGTAGCAGTGTAAATACTTTAATGACCTCAGAGCACAGTTTAACACTGACCTGCTGCATAAGTGAAACAAGAGCAGTGACCTTCAAAATAAAAGCCCTTGATCTGAGAATCCATGCATGAGGACAACTATATATAGAATGACCAGACGTCCCTATTTAGCCTGTGTTCCCTGTGTCAGCACATTTATCCAAAACCACTGATTTGTCCCAGTTTTATACAGAAATGTCCCAGGTGTCCCTATTTTGGACCAGTCTGATGCCTGCCAACAGTGAAGAGATATAAACTGTCATCTCTTGATGTAAAATACCAAAAAGCTGTTTAAAAATGAACAAAACCCAAAGAAAATGTGACTATACTGACTCATGTTAGTTTTATTTGTATGCATTTATTTTTTATTTTTTAACTCCAAGAGAAAAGATGCTCTGTGCTGGATTTAGCTCCAAGCTCCTTTCCATCTGCGGTCCTCAGGCAGGTACATGAAAGAAACTATTTATATTAGACCACCAACAGTGTCTCCTTAAAATAAAATAACCAGCAACCAATTCATCATTAAAACATTTTAAACAACCAAAATTAATCATTAGTCATGAAAGGGCCGAGTGCATGAATTTTCTTTAATTACGCATTCATTTCACAATTTTATTATTACCAACCACCTGTCCCAGTTTTTGATTTTGAAATTCTGGTAATCTTAAATAGTCATCCATATATTACTTACAGTATATAGTCATAGAAGATTACCTGTGTTTATTTCTCACACAAGAAAAGGGTACTGTGTCACTGTTACAAAATCCAGTGGTAAGAATAATGGACACAAAAAAATGCTGCAAATGCAAATGTTTACTGTTTTGACATGTTTTTCTTGTGGCATTGTGGAATAAATATGATGTGTAGAATAAATGAATGAAGAATTAATGGCGTTGTGTGTTATAGTAAACACAACATACCAGGAGCCCGTATCCCTGAACGAAACACGTGTGGACAGTTTTATATTGTGTGTTCACTCAAGTGTAACTAAGAGGCACACTGGGCTTCATTTATTTATCACTGAACCTATAGGTGTGTGTGTGTGTGTGTGTGTGTGTGTGTGTGTGTGTGTGTGTGTGTGTGTGCGTGCGTGCGTGCGTGCGTGCGTGCGTGTGTGCGTGTGCGTGTGTGTGTTAAGAGAACAGAAAGCTAAGTAGGCTACAGACTGATCATTTTACTAATTGAAATGTAGTTCATAAATTATATGAAGACAAAGACTGTAGTATATTCTTTATATGATTCTTAATAACGATCTTAATTAGGGGTGTGCAAAAATATTGTAATATTTATGTATCGTATTGTTTAATGTGATGATACAGTAGAGCTGCTCGATTGTGGAAAAAATCATCACGATTATTTTGGTCAATATTGAAATCACAATTATTCAAACGATTATTTTTTTAGTTACACAATGCATTTATTCAGCATTTCTCTCTCTCAAAAAACAAACAAAAATCACGTTATTGATAATTACGCAAAACTTTCAAACTGAAAGTAAATAGGCTACATATATGAACCTTAGAGCTGTTTTGCGATATATAAAACATAAAATGAATAAAATAAACTTTGACAATGAAATAAGGCAGAAAAACATAAATGTATCCAAAATAAACTATATTCAAAAGATAAAATAAATATACTTTTATTAAAAATATCCCAAAATAAACTTTGTTAAGCTTTTGTTTCAACTCGATTATATGAGTTTGGAGATTGTTTGACACACAAATCAAAATCGTAATCAAAATTCAATCAAAATTCAATTAATTGCACAGACTACAGTATCGATATTGTGAGGTTACTGTGTCGATATATTGGCAAAAAAAAAAAAAAAAAAATTGCTTCTTTTACTCAATTATTTTGTTACAGCGCTACGTTTCTGTTGCTTGTTGCTCATTTATGCAACACATTTGACATTTTCACTGTTTTGAGGATAAAAATGTGTGTGTTTATGAACTTTACACAAGATGTGGTTTAACTAAGATTTTAGTATCATGGCCATATCGAATCATTTTTTAAATATATTGTATCGAACTGAAAGTGCACTGTATCAAGATACGTATTGTCTCATGGCCTATGTATTAAGGTATGCATTGTATCGACAACTTCTTAACAATACCCAGCCCTAATCTTACTAAATGCAATAATCCCAGTGATGATATAAAATCAGGATACTGAAAAAAATTTTAAGGTAATGTCTAACTAATTCTGAAAAGTGTGACAAAATAAATAAATAAATTCATATAAATACAGTACATACATACATACATACATACATACATACATACATACATACATACATACATAAATGAATAAAAATAAAACCTGATTTAGCAGTGTCCCTCCTCCCTGCCGCTAGAGGGCGGACTAGAGCACACGCTGAGTAACGAGGCGGAAGTGCTCAGTGTCAACAAACTGGCCGCACGTGTGAGCGGAGCAGCATGGGTGGATTTATGACGCCAAAACTGGATTTATAACATATTTTACACCGAATATAAGCATATATATATGAATAGAGAGGCAAGATGAAGTTTGCATATCGGGTAAGTTACTTTGCATCAGGGAAACAAGTGCCGGTCCCGGATTTAGCGCAGTAGATGGACCTCGTCTCTGGAGAAAATCATTATAATGTTATAATAATATCATAATTCGGGATTGTCTCTTTTCAGTTTTCTAATCTCCTCGGAGCAGTTTATCGACAGGGAAATTTAAACTTCTCCAAAGATGGGAACGCTGTCATCAGTCCAGTTGGAAATAGAATATCCATCTTTGACCTGAAAAAGTAAGTCAGACGTTTAATTTAAGGTGACCAGATTTTCCATAAATTCTGGACTGGAACACACCCTGGATTAGATCTGATGTAGTTCTGGTTTAGTCTTAGATTAGTTCTGGTTTAGACCTGATGTAGTCCTGGTTTAGTCTTAGTTTACTTGGTCAAAAATAGGGACACCTGGGACGTTTCTTGTGTAAAACTCGGACAACTCACTGGTTTTGTATGAATCTGCTGGTACGGGGACACTGGGCTCAAAACTGGGTCTGTCCCGGGTAAATAGGGACTGGTCACCCTAGGTTAACTACAGTGAGATGTCTAGTCCGTATCCCACTATACGGGACTAAAACATAATGGCAGTGTTTAATATGAAAGTGCATGTTGTGAAAAGTTTTTACGTGAATGTTGTGTTAGCCGTATGAATTTATTATTCTAAAATTTGACTGTTACTGTAACAATTACTACCAGACACATAAGCCATTAATGTTTAGAGTAACACATTTAAAATAACACACAAATAACTGTGTTTTTTTTTGGGGGGGGGTTGGTTTGTAGCAACACATCAGAGACATTACCAATCTCCACTACTAAGAACATAACATGTGTGGGCATTTCTCCCAATGGGAATCTTGCCATTGTGGTGGATGAAGGTAAGAAAATCAACTTTAACTATGAACTGTGTCTTAATAAAGCTGATTGTTTACATGTTTTGTTCGTAGACGGTGCTGCGCTGCTGGTCAGCCTTGTCACTCGGGCCATCCTTCATCACTTCCACTTCCACAAACCTGTCCACAGCATCAGCTTCTCTCCAGATGGAAGGTCAGAAAACAGTTATATTCAGCAGGTATCAGAAGGTATCTCTATGGTGTTTGGCAAAAAGTCAAAGACATGAAAAGGAAGAGATTTTATTTATTTATTTTATTTTATTTAGTGGTTCATCCATAGGCCTTAAAGTCTTATGGCAGTTTTACAGAATTTAAAATATTGCAACAAATATTAATGGACTTAGAAATATCCTTGTCCCTCTTAGGAAGTTTGTGGTGACCAAGGAGAATGTGGCCCTGATGTATCACGCTCCAGGAAAACAGCGCGAGTTTAACGCTTTCGTGCTGGACAAGAGCTACTACGGTCCCTATGATGAGACCACCTGCATCGACTGGACCACAGACTCCAAGTGAGAGTTAAATATGACATTTATAATCACTGAAAAGGCTATATTACCTTGTTCTGACTCTTGACCGGCTGTGGCAGGTGCTTCGCCGTGGGGAGCAAAGATATGTCCACCTGGGTGTTTGGGGCTGAGCGCTGGGCAAACCTGATCTACTACTCCCTGGGGGGCCACAAGGATGTCATTGTGGGCTGCTTCTTTGAGAAAGACAGTCTAGATGTGAGTACTGCATTTACGCTAATTAGGGGTGGCACGGTTCACAAAATTCACAATTCGGTTCGTATTGCGGTTTAAAGTTGCAGTTTTTGGTTCGGTGCGGTTCTTATTGTTATTTTTCCTTTTTAATCTTTAATCTCCAGAAATATCATCATATGCTTTGTTATTTTAACTATCCACAATTTGACTTGACTTTAAGCACATTATTATTGGACATAGGCAGCTGTTGTGCTTCGGTGAAAAAATGTTACCACTTTCCTAGCCCTCCTCAGGAGTCAGGATACTTGATTTAGTGAGATTGCACTCTTGGCTGCAAGGTTAAGGTCCTGGCTCCACACTACGCATCAGCGTTTCTGCACGTGCAGCACTGACTCTGTGTTTGTCAATGGGAAAGCCGATCAAACTTGACTGGGCGCGTTTAGCCGCTTGTATCAGGTCCACAGTGAAACTAAGAGCTGAACAGACTTGTATTTACCTTCTGTACAGGTTGACCAGGGCAAACGCAAGGATTTCAAAAGTACTAATTAACAGACTTTCTGGACCTGGGCTCTTTCACACAACACAGAACTGCCCCAGGAACACGTTGTGCTGATGGTAAACGCACAAATTCAACCAATGATTCATGCTCTCTGTGTATTTTGCTATTTTGCTCACGTAGAGTGTCAAAAAATCCTATTTTGGATCCTATTTTCTGAAATCTACATGGGCAGGACGTGCTGCTCCGTACACGCAGCACCCACCCTCCACACCTCTACTTTTGCACCAAAGCGAAACAGGTCACATATGGGCACGCAGCTACAATGCACAAGCCAGGAACTGTGGAAACCGTACGGTACGCACACATCCTGAACCGTGATAAGAAAACCCTTTTTTTTTTTTTTTTTTCATGAACTGTGCCACCCCTAAAGATAATGTCAGTTCTTGTTTTGGGCTGGTTATAATGCAAGGCTTGGTTTGTTTTTCATGCTATTTATACATAACAAATTCTAATTTTCCTAAAACAAAGATTTACCTGAGGAGTCTTTACTTTCCAAAGTGAAAACATTATCTGTACTATTTTTATTGCAATGGTGTTGTTGTTCCTACACTGGGCCAGATGTGAAGGTGGAATCTTCTTTTATCAGTTGTACACAGTGAGCCAGGACGGGACCCTGTGCATCTGGGAGAGTGACACAGAGCCAGACGGTTTAGTCCTGAGCAAGAAACAGCTCCAAAGAGAGGAACAGGAGGAAGACGAGGAGGAGGAAGAGGAGGGGATGGAGGGACGGGAGGGGGAGGTCATCAGGGGCAAAGCACACACCCAAAAAGACAAGAAGCACAACAAGAATGTCCGATATAAGCAGGCCAGCAAGTAAGTGTCTCGTGCATCTTAAAAAACCACTGCATAGTACAGATACTTTATGTAGTGTTATGTTATATGAGTATTTGATTTTTGTCCAACACTTGACATTTCAGCATGAAAGATACTAGCATATTATTGTATTATTATTATTATTTCATTCATACTGTAGATTAAGGTCTTTTTAATTGTATTGTTCAGAAGTATGATTTCTACACAAAGTGAATAATTTATTGATACTGCTTACAACCAGTATTTTTATTAAACTTGTATTACACCTGAAAGTTCTGAGATTCTGAATCTGCTCTGTGCTATGACTGCCACCAACATGTTTGATCATTCAAATGAACTGTAAAATATATTTATTCCAAAACATGTCTCAAAAAGAAAAATATCTAAAAATGAAACAGCAGGACTATAATGGCAGTTTGTTCTCAACTTTTTGGTGGAATTAAGAGTCTCCAAAAAGTACACTATTTCAGGAGTCTGCAGAATGTTGCATAATTGGGGATTTATCTCTGTATTGGGGATTTAACTGTTCCTTTCACAACACCCCCTTTATTATTCCTCTGACGGTCTGGAGCCACTATAATCTGCTGTTTAAAATGATTTACCCTGCACTTGTTTCTCAGGCACTTCTTTAATAAGGAGGGGGACTTTAATAACCTGACCGCAGCTGCCTTCCATAAGCCCACTCACATCCTGGTTACAGGCTTCGCCTCCGGGATCTTCCACCTGCACGAGCTGCCAGAGTTCAACCTCATCCACTCGCTCAGGTACAAGTACAGCTGCAATGTCACAAGTTTTATGACTAATAAAGAAAATCAACTAGATTATTCCATTTAGAATAGCTGTATTGAATTAGACGTTAATTTAATATTAATTAGATTAGATTAAGACTGTTTTAAAAAATTAAATTATAACCACAATTGTTGTTTTTTTGTTGACATTTGGTAATGTCTTGCTCCTGTTGTTAAGTCCTTGGGCAAGACACCACTACCACTGTTCTCTTTAGTCTTAGTAAAATGTCTGAAATCACCTGAGCAAAGGGCATCCTACATAAAAATAAAAATAAAGAAATCAGTGTGCAACTTGTACTGTGATGGCCAGTAACAGAGTAACCAAACTGGACAAAAGGAACATCTATCCAGACATTTCTGAATATGATATAACTTATGTCTTTCTAATAATAGATCACTTTTATGTGTGTGTAGTATCTCAGACCAGAGAATTGCCTCTGTGGCTATCAACAGCTCTGGAGACTGGATCGGCTTTGGCTGTTCAAGTAAGTCTGTCATTTTGTAGATTAGCTCACAATGTTTATTTGTGTTTGAACTCTATATATACTTGGATATTTTCTAGGGATGGGTCAGCTGCTGGTGTGGGAGTGGCAGAGTGAGTCTTATGTGTTCAAACAGCAGGGACACTTCAATAACATGGCGTCTCTGGCCTACTCTCCAGACGGACAGTACATTGCGACTGGAGGAGACGACGGCAAGGTCAGGGCTCCAAGTTTTTTAATTTATTTACAGTGCCTAAACTGCAAAACACAATTACATCCCTGAGTAGAATCGAGAACATTAAGTGTTTCTAAATAATTTCTTTTTTTTTTTTTTCTATTTTTTTACATTTGAGGCCTTGAATATTTTACCTATTATGAAATTTATATTGTTATTTTTATTTCACGCTTATAAAATGGCACAACGAGTGAAGATTTTTTAGACTTTTGTGTAATTAAACATACGAGATGCTTTATGTCATTTTGTGTATCTATTTTTCAGGTGAAAGTGTGGAACACAAACAGTGGCCTGTGCTTTGTTACCTTCACGGAGCACAGCAGCAGTGTGTCTCAGGTGACCTTCACCTCCAGTGGGATGGTGGTGGTCAGTGCCTCTTTAGACGGGACGGTTCGTGCTTTCGATCTACACAGGTGAGATACAAACTGCTATTGAGCTTTTAAGTATAATAAATTGGGTTTATGCAGATTTGTTGACCTGGTTTATGGTCAATATTTTTACTTACTGGACCTATCCACATGAAGCAATAACTGGAACAAAGTTCAGCGTCTTCTCTGTCAGTCAAAATAAACAGAGGTTTCAGACCATGGTGCCGTTATTCAAACCTAAAGACCTGATTTTTGTCCATCAAGGATTTTAAGACATAAGATTAATACGGTATATGGTGTCTTGGACACTCGGGTGAAGAGAGGGGCTGAGCTGTCAACTGATCACCTGGTTGTGAGTTGGGTCCACTGGCGGAGGAGGAAGCCGGAAAGACCTGACAGGCCCAAGCGTGTAGTGAGGGTCTGTTGGGAACGTCTGGGTGAGCCCTCTGTCAGGGGGACTTTCAACTCGCACCTCTGGAGAGCTTCTTGCAGATTCTGGGGGAGGCTGGGGACATGGAGTCTGAGTGGGCTTCATTCTCGGCCTCTATTGTCGATGCGGCCGCTTTGTAGCTGTGGGCATAAGGTCTGTGGTGCCAGTCACGGCAGTAATCCCCGAACTCGGTGGTGGACACTGGAAGTAAGGGATGCCGCCAGGCTGAAGAAGGAGTCTTATCTCCTGAGGCAGCTGACATCAAGCGTGCTTCAGCCCATGCGGTTGCAGAGGCAAAAACGTGGAGCTGGGAGGAGTGCGGGGAGGTCATGGAGGCCTCAAAGCGATGTATTTATGGACAGAATTTCTAGGTGCAGTCAGGAGCCTGAGGGGGTCCGGTGTGGGGACTGCAGGATCTCATCTCTGCTGTTTGCAGATGATGTTGTCCTGTTGGCTTCATCAAGCCAGGTCCTGCAGCGTGCACTGGGGCGGTTTGCAGTCGAGTGTGAAGCGGCTGGGATCAGGATCAGCTCTTCCAAGTCCGAGGTCGTGGTTCTCGACTGGAATAAGGTGGCTTGTCCTCTCCGGGTGGGTGGAGAGTCCTCACCTCTAGTGCAGGAGTTCTGGGTCTTGTTCACGAGTGAGGGGAGGATGGTGCATGAGATTGACAGGTGGATTGGTGCAGCATCTGCAGTGATGCAGTCACTGTATCGGACCGTTGTGGTGAAGAGGGAGCTGAGTCGAAAGGCAAAGCTCTCGTTTTACCGGTCAATCTTCGTTCCTACTCTCACCTATGGTCATGAGCTCTGGGTAATGATCGAAAGAACAAGATCGTGGATACAAGCGCTCGAAATGAGTTTCCTCCGCTGGGTGGCTGGGCGCTCCCTTAGAGATAGGGTGAGGGGCTCGGAGTAGAGCCGCTGCTCCTCCATGTCGAGAGGAGCCAGTTGAGGTGGCTTGGGCATCTGTTTCGAATGCGTCCTGGACACCTCCCTCAGGAGGTGTTCTGGGCATGTCCCGCCGGAAGGAGGCCCCTAGTAAGACCCAGGACACGCTGGAGGGACTATGTCTATGGGCTGGAGGATGTGTCTGGAGTGAAGGAACTCTGGGAGTCCCTGCTTAGACTACTGCCCCTGCGACCCGGCCCCGGATAAGCAGAAGAAAATGGATGGATGGAAGATTAATATGGCAAGTTTGTGGAGACAATTCCTAACAACAAATAATAATAAGTTCTACAACTGCAGATTTTTTTGTTTGGTTATTGCTTTTTCAAAAACATAAAGATGGATATACCTCAGTCCTCCAACTGAAATTCTGACATCAGATTCTATAACGTGACCCTGACTTATTCTCTGTGTAGAAGATTTTTACTGTGGAAAACAATGCAATACCGGTATTAGAAAATAAGCAAATAAACAAATGACTAAAAGCTGTTGGTATTTGCATGTTTGTTTAAAGGTACCGAAACTTCCGCACCTTCACGTCCCCTCGGCCAGCGCAGTTCTCTTCTCTGGCAGTAGATGTCAGTGGAGAGCTGGTGAGTGCAGGGGCCCAGGACTCCTTTGAGATTTTCCTGTGGTCCATGCAGACGGGCAGACTGCTGGAGGTTGGTGCATTTCACTGTAATGACTAAATACTGGTGTTAATGAGTCTGAGGTTAAAGTAAGAGTGATCTGTTTGATGTTCAGGTCCTGGGAGGTCACGAGGGCCCCGTTTCCTCCCTGTGCTTCAGCCCAGTGCAGTCAGTTCTGGCCAGTGCCTCGTGGGACAAAACTGTTCGACTGTGGGACATGTTGGACAGCTGGCAGGTCAAAGAGACACTAGCCCTCACTTCAGATGGTAGGTAATTTGTGATCTACCAAAGAGGTGGATAAAATTATACATTTGGATTCAATTGGTATACAAAAATAACAATGCATAGTTTTAAAGTATATAAGTAGTATATTGTTTTCAGGCCTGGCAGTGACGTACCGCCCTGATGGTGAGGAGTTGGCAGTGGCCACTCTAAACGGTGAGATCTCATTTTGGAGCCCACAGAGCGCCGCACAGACCGGCTCTGTGTCCGGACGCCACGACCTGGAGCTGGGACGCAAAGAGACAGACAAAGTCACTGCCAAGCAGACCGCCAAGGGCAAGTGAGTGACCATAGAAGTTATCTGGATAGATCACTAAAAAGCAGCATACATTTTGCATTGAAATATATTGTGGTTTACACCCATTTGACTGTATGTCTTTTGTTTAAAGGTCTTTTACGTGTCTGTGCTATTCTGCCGATGGGGAGGCCATTTTGGCGGGAGGGCAGTCCAAGTTTGTGTGCATCTACAATGTGAAGGAGCAGATGCTGATGAAGAAGTTTGAGATCTCCTGTAACCTGTCCTTCGACGCAATGGAGGTTTGCACCCAATTTCACCACAAATATTTATGTTTGCTTATGTAGATATGGAGTTATTTTTATGCTGAAACTTTTGCTATGCTTGTTTTCAGGAGTTTTTAGACCGTCGTAAGATGACAGAGTTTGGCAGTCTTGCTCTGGTGGATGATGGAGCAGGAGATGGAGAGGGGGTGAACATCAGCCTGCCCGGTGTCCGCAAAGGTATGACTTGTCCACATAACATGAAGCCTTACTACTCCCTTTTCATTCAAAGGTATGAACTCACATTTTCCTCTTCTTTTCTTCTAAAGGCGATATGAGCTCAAGACACTTCAAACCTGAAATCAGAGTCTCGTCTCTACGGTTCTCTCCTACTGGTAAGTAACACTGTCAGTTCACACACATTTAAAAGGTTTAGCTGTGTTTGAAATGTCAAATATTGTCTGTTAGGCCGGAGTTGGGCAGCCACCAGCACAGAGGGCCTGCTGGTCTACTCGCTGGACGGCTCCATGGTGTTTGACCCCTATGACCTGGACCTGGACGTGACCCCGGAGAGTATCCACAAACAGCTCCGCCTGAAGGAGTGGACCTCTGCCATAGTGCTGGCCTTCAGGCTCAACGAGAGGGCTCTAAAGCAGGAGGTCATCGAAACCGTCCCCCACGACCAGAGTGAGAACACAACACATTTTTATATACGTGTAGTTATGGTCAATTTTTTTTTGCCAATATTGAAATAAGCATGGCTATATTCATATATTCTTTGTTTGAAACCTCTGATGTAATAGATTGTACTGTAGCATGAGTACACAATAATCACATAATAAGAATTGACTTGCATTTTCCTTCCCAAGTGAAATTTGCATAGATTTCATCTTGCTTTACTAAAAAACAAGCAGTGAATATATTTTTCTGTGTATTTCAGTTGGTGTGGTGTGTGGATCTCTGCCTGACATCTATGTTGAGAAGCTGCTGGGCTTCATTGCCTCATGTCTAGAGACGTCTGGTCACCTACAGTTCTACATGAGCTGGGCCCAGAGCCTGCTCATGCTGCATGGCCAGAAACTCAAGAACAGGTGGGACAAATCAACCATCACCAGTAGCATCTTGAATAAATGCTTCAGAGTAGAGACATTGTTTTGGTCAGCGATATCATATAATCTCCTTTGGTTTCATGTATTTCATAGATCTGGCGCCATCCTGCCCACACTCCAAGCTCTGCAGAAAGCCATCCAGAGACACTATGACAGTCTTTCCAAGCTGTAAGTCTGAGAGCTTATTTTATCCATCAGCTTTTATTAACTACTAGCCTGGAAATGAAGGGTAATACTGAAGGTTTATGTACGTGTTTAGGTGTGATTTCAACAAATACAACATCCGGTATGCAGTAGCCTTGTCCAAACAGAGAGGAGTGAAGAGGGCGGCTGAGGAGGTGGAGGGAGAGGAAGAAGAGGAGGATGAAGATGACATGTCTGAGGAGAGGAGTGAAGCTTCACTGGAGGAGGCAGAGATGATATTATAACTAGATTGGACATCTACATACTGAACATTCTGCTTTGTAAATGTGTTTTTAATAAAATGTATGTGTAAAGGCATATCGGTGTGATCAGTGTCTTTTGTCTATATTGTTGTATTGTATATTATTATTTGTGGCCACAGCAGCTTGTCAAAGGCTGATCCCGTCAGATCTCAGAAGCTCAGCAGGGCCAGGCCTGGTTAGTACTTGGATGGGAGACCATTGAGAAAATCAGGAGCCACAGGGGGGTGCCAGTCGCAAAAACTGTTATGTCCATAGGCAAGGCACTTCACCTATATTCCCTAGTGTGAAAGTGATGGTGGTGGGTGGTGGGTGGAGGGGCAGATGGCGCAGATTGGCAGCCTCACTTCTTTCAGTCTGTCCCGGGGCAGCTGTGACTACATTAGTAATTCACCACCACGAAGTGTGGAGTGAATGAATAATGAAAAAATGATTCCTTATACAATGAGGGCCAGTCCAGAGGATCAGTGAGTCCAGCGCACGGTCCAGTGTGGGATTGATTCTTTTTTTCTTCACGCTGTGGGAAAGTGTTTCCGGCGCAGGGCGGAAGAGGCGGAGTCTGAGCCAAAATGAGGGAAAATAAGAACATGTCTGAGTCCCCGTCTCCAGCGGGAAAAGAAACACCAGCGAAGAAACAGAAACTAAGCAGTGACGAGAACAGTAACCCCGACCTGTCAGGAGACGAGAATGTAAGACCATCAGCGCCATTTGTAAACCGCTACAAACATGTAACACCAGGTGTTAGCATCAAGCTAAAGCAGGCTGCTAGCTTAGGAAGCTAACTCCACAGCAGCTTTGTCTCCCGCACCGGCGCCGCGCACACACAGCTCTCTGTTCACTCTCAGCACACACATCACACCATGTGTACCTCGAATCCATGTCACACCAGTAGATCTGCTCCTGTAAATGGAGTGTCGACAGAAACAAACTTATGTCCGCTGCTTTAGACACATTCACGTGGACTCGTGAGCCTGAGGTGTGTTCACATCAGGGAGACAGGGAGAGCTGCTCACACCATCTGTCATCACTCAACATAGAACTATAGGCTCTTTCCCTTCTTTTCTACTCGTCAGAGCCTCATCAATCCTTTAGACAAAAACTGGAACACTTTGTACTTCCTCATTGACCAAACCCACAGTTCTTTGTCATTGCTGTAACACTTGTGTTAGGAGGCCAAACCTCATTTATCTGAACATATGTACTATATAGTGTCCGTGCAGTGAGACTCCCTTCCCCAACACCCAAAGAAGTACATTTTAAATGCAAGTGCATAATATTACAGCATTATCTGTCTTCCTATGACCTCTTGTATAAAGCTGAGATTTTATATTTTATTACTTATCTTTCTATTTTATTTTGACTTTTACATTTATATAATTATGTGGTATTTGATACCTGTCTCTTGCTCTTTTTTGCTATTTATTTAGAATTTACTATGACCATTTATATTTTTTACTCTTTATTGTATTATATTGTGACGTGTGAGCTACTGTGTCCAAATCATTTCCCTTGTGGATCAATAAAGTTTTTCCAAGTCTAATTATACAGACACACACATCTTTGCTGACAAAATGTTTTATACTTAAGTTGTGACACCATCACATCCACACAGAATAAATACTTGTGTGCTAAAACTGCAGTCATACACACGATTTAAATATGTGTGTGATTTGTGTGTGTTCCAGGACGATGCTGTTAGCGTGGAGAGTGGGACCAACACAGAGCGCCCAGACACCCCCACCAACACAGCCAACGCCCCCGGCAAAAAGAGCTGGGGCAAGGGCAAGTGGAAGTCCAAGAAGTGCCGCTACTCCTTCAAATGTGTCAACAGCCTGAGGGTAACACGATGACAATAATTAGAACATGTAGTCACTGAATGTACCATTACTTATTCCTTATCATTATTTTCAAATCCTTGTGTTGCCTTTCTGTCCAGGAAGACCATGGGCAGCCTCTTTTTGGAGTCCAGTTTAATTGGAACAGTAAAGAAGGGGACCCACTGGTGTTTGCGACTGTGGGGAGCAACAGGGTAAATCACAATTTACATTATTCTTACTGAACAGTTGTGTCAGTGTCCATAAAATCTACTTTTTAAGTGGCATTAGTAATAGAAATAATGACATAGTTCTGTGTTTTTCTAGGTAACTCTATATGAATGTCACTCTCAGGGAGAAATCCGCCTGCTGCAGTCCTACGTAGACGCTGATGTATCTTTTCTACATTGTTATTACTCACTTATTCTCTCATAGCTCTAAGCCTCCATGTTGTGAGAACACTTGAGTATTTGCGTGGAATCTTCTTAACCAGCGTGTGCCCAGGCCGATGAGAACTTCTACACGTGTGCCTGGACCTATGACACCAACACCAGCCACCCTCTGCTGGCTGTGGCCGGCTCCCGCGGCATCATCCGAGTCATCAACCATATCACCATGCAGTGCATCAAGGTCTGCACCACCACTATGTTTTACAGTGAATAGTTTCATCTTGATGTCTCTTGTTTTGTCTTATTGGTTTAAGTTTTTTAATTGTATTCTAGGGCTCCATGATTTATCCCGCTAAGCCTGTGTTTCCAAATTGCATTTCTTGTATTAGTTTGTCAGTTCATATTTCAGTCTTTTTGTCATATCTTCAGGACACATTTAAAATATGAACCCTGAATAGAATCCTATTATTGAAACGTGAATTGCGAATCTAATCACAATTGCAAAGCTTGAAAAAAAAAACGCTAATTGCTCTGTTTTATTCAATATATTCAGACTTTCTATAAAGCTCTTTCTAAAAACATGTTTTCGCAGCATTATGTAGGACATGGGAATGCCATTAATGAACTGAAGTTCCATCCCAGGGACCCTAACCTCCTCCTTTCCGTCAGCAAAGGTACAACTTCTATATTATACAGTGTATTACACAACAATAGTAAGTAATTCAAATGCAAGTAGTTGTGGTTTTTATCCTGTTGTTATCCCACACCTTGGCAGAACTTAACTTGACCTGCTTATGTTCCTATAAAACTCATAGATGATGGAATGTGATGGTCAGGGGTTCAGCAATCACTGTAAAAATCACTGCTAAAGACTCATTACTGTGTTAATTAACTGTGTTAATAACTGATGTTTTTGTAATGCTCTGTAATTGTAGACCATGCACTGCGCCTGTGGAACATCCAAACTGATACTTTAGTAGCCATCTTTGGAGGCGTGGAGGGTCACAGAGATGAAGTGCTCAGTGCCGTGAGTTGTAATCTTGTCTACTCACTAATATTGCATCACCCTATAATCACTAAATAAACTGCCTTCTGTATTGGCGCAGGATTTTGACCTTCTGGGTGAAAAGATCATGTCCTGTGGGATGGACCACTCTCTGAAACTGTGGAGAATTAACTCAGAGAGAATGCAGAAAGCGATCAGAGGCTCATATGAGTACAATCCTTCAAAGACAAACAGGTACCATTTGCGCTGTTCACAATATCCAACTATTAAAAAAAAAAAAAAACATTATTTGCTTAGTATGGACTACCTGTAACAAATGACTGATAAAGAATCCTGAGGACCACTAAAATATACTCTGTGACACATTTGCCTCTCCGTCATTGCTTTGATACCTCCAAAAAAAGAGGTCAGTTTGCCAGACAAATTGTGCGAGAAGTGATTGTACTACCTCCATAGACGAGTGGTATGACCATTTGGAAAGTGCTGTGTCCCTTTCTGTGACGTTTTATGACAATAAGACCTTAGAAAATGATGAATTGTCCTGTAAAACCTTTTATGCTGTTTCCTTATTCTCCTCTTGCTGTCTCCAGACCTTTTGTCTCACAGAAAATCCACTTCCCTGACTTTTCTACTCGTGACATCCATAGAAACTATGTGGACTGTGTGCGCTGGCTGGGAGACCTCATCCTCTCCAAGGTTTGTCATGTAGTTCTCATATACACTTTGTGAATATACTAATAATTACTCTTTCTGTTTATTTTCTTGAATAGTCTTGTGAAAACGCCATTGTGTGTTGGAAACCGGGGAAGATGGAGGACGACATAGACCACATAAAACCAAATGAGTCAAATGTGACCATTCTGGGGCGCTTTGATTACAGCCAGTGTGACATCTGGTACATGCGCTTCTCCATGGACTTCTGGCAGAAGGTAGCACACAGACAGAATCAAATTTAAAATTGAGATGCTGAATATGAATCAAACCCAATTCTGTGTGGCAGATGCTGGCTTTAGGAAACCAAGTGGGGAAGCTGTATGTGTGGGACCTTGAAGTGGAAGACCCACATAAAGCCAAGTATGTTACTCTCCACACAAACCATTGTAATAATGTAATACTCATCGGCAGGTTGTTAAAGTTAATAGATAACTTGTGTTTGGGCCACGCAACAGCCAGTGGCCAGAAGAGAATGTTGACTCAGCAGATTTCTCAGACAGATTGGCATGGTTTGTGGTTAACCATCATAATTCATATTTTATTGGCACACAGGACTCATGACTCAAAAAGGAAATGAAACAGGATTTATTCTTGCTTAATTTTTAACATCCATGCTTCAGGAGTTTGGGGTGTAAATTTTCTAATATTTTCTTTCCTATTTCATCTTGTGGTTATATATTTGTTCATATCCCTATTTGAACTTAATGACAGATTATGTAAAATATTTTTTTTAGCTTTCTGCCATGTTATAATGTTCCTTCGTCAAAAACATTCTTGAAGCGGTCATCCATGCATGTTTCAGTAATTAAGCATTTTTGGCCCTCAGGTTAGCTGTAAGACTCTGTTCAAAGCTCCACCCACAAGCCTACGTCACCCATACTCCCGCATGACAAGTCTCTATCAATATACAAAAATATGACACACAACTGTACACAGCAACTTGACAAACCTGCCGCATTGTGCTGTAGTTTCATAACTGGGATGCAGTGATTATGTTGGCAGGGTTCCCATGGAAATCCTGGAAAAGTCATGGAATTTTAGTATCGCTTTCACACAGCTGCAGCGTTCTTTTAAGTTCTCATGAGGCTGTTATGAATATTTCTGAATGTCTGCACCTTTTGTCTGAAAGAGATGA